GTGTGTGCGTGTATGTGTGTGTGTGTGTGTCTGTGTGTGTGTGTGTGTGTGCGTTCTCGCGTGTGTTTGAAAGAGAGGAAGAAAGAGTAGTATTGGTAAGAAAAGATGTCGAATAGCATGAATTAGTAAAGAGGTTATTACAGGTACATATGAGGATGATAAGAGAAAAAAAGAAAGAGAAAATAGAAGTCAGTGAAAAGCAGAAACGAAATATCGAAGGTGGATGAAGTAATTCGCGAACATTCTTTTAATATTCTACTGCTTTCTTTGATTTCACGGAAGAAGCTTTATTCACAGCTCCATTTTTTCTTCTCGTTGGTCACAGCATCAGAGGTGAAGAGAACAGGTCGTCACGGTTAATAAAGTCTTTTCACCCGATGACAGGCCTCATAGATTTCTTTTTTTTCTTATTTCTCTTTTTAAAATCTTATTTCTACTTTTTTTATTTTATTTTATTTTATGTTATTATTATTATATTAATTTATTATTTAGATTCTTTGGATTCGAAGGCCAATATGGAAAGGAGGTTATTCTTCCCTCTGTGTCTCTCTTTCCCTTTTGATATCGATATATTTGTATATTTTTTTTTTCCTTTTTATACTCTACTTCTTTTTCTCTTTGTATGTGTCTGTCCGTCAGTTTCTCTTTCTTTCTTATTTATTCTCTTCCTTTCTTCTCTCCCTATCTCTTTCCTTCTTTCTTTCTCTCCCCTCGCCTTCACTCTCTTTCTCTCCTCCCTCCGGTCTCTCTCCTTCTCTTCTCTCTCTCTCTCTCTCTCTCTCTCTCTTCTCTCTCTCTCTCTCTCTCTCTCTCCTCTCTCTCTCTCTCTCTCTCTCTCATCTATATATATATATATATATATATATATATATATATATATATTACTATATCTATATATATATATATATATATTCTTCTCTCTCTCTTCTCTCTCTCTCTCTTATATCTCTCTCTCTCTCTCTCTTCTCTCTCTTCTCTCTCTCTCTCTCTCTCTCTCTCTCTCTCTCTCTCTCTCTCTCTCTCTCTTTATCTCTAAAACTATCAAAAACTGATTCAAAGTGTAATTTGTTATAACTTTGTTCTGGCCGCAGTGAAAGTTCGAGCCTAACATTACAAACACATAAACTTTTGCGGAAATCGTGCAAAAAATATTGTTCAGTATATATGTACTCCGCATATGATAAGTGTATGTGTCTGTGTTGTGAATGTATGTTGTTATGTATGTCTGTATGTGTCTGTAAATGTGTATGTGCGTCTGAATGTGTGTTTGTATTAGTATGCGTGTATGAGTTTTTATTAGTGTTTGTGCTTGTACATGCCTTTGTACTTATACATGTGTTTGTGTATGGGTGTATGTCTTTATGATTAAATGAGCTTTGCATATATATTTGTGTATTCGTGTGTCTTTGAATTTCTGCATCTGTGGTCCTTTCGTGTGTGTCAAAGATGGAGAAGGCAGAAAAGGGAGAAGGAGAAGAGAGTCTACCAAAAATTGCTCGCATATAGAACGAGTCAAAGATCTATTACCTATATTCTTTTACGAACGAATCAGTGGGACCTCGAGCATGGTAATCAGTGCGTGTGTGCTGTGTATGCGTTTGTGATAATGCACGCATGCCCACGTTGGTAGGTACATACATGTCATCAGCATGCGTGGGTAATCAGCACCTTCCCTTAGCTGTATTTTCCCCCTCACCCCCCCCCCCATGTTTAAAGATTCACGTTCTTCGACCTGAATCTCGCTGCCACCCCCCCCACATGCTCTCTTTAAGGGTGCGAGACCAGAACGAGAGTCCTAAACCCTTGCTTCCGGGTTAAAAAGGGAGTAAGTATGAAGGCAAAGGGTGTGTGTAAGAGTACAGAAGTACATTAAGAAGAATAATAGCATTGTTGACGATGTGTAAAGACACACACACATACAGATACACACACACACACACACCACACACACACACACACACACACACACACACACACACATATATTATATATATATATATATATATATATATTATATATATATATATATATGTGGTGTGTGTGTTGCTTTGTGCTTGTGTGTGTGTAAAGTGAGAGAGAGCAAGGGAATAGGATAGGATTGGGTAAGAAAAATGTTGACTGACACAGGTTTTCAAAGAGGTTACCGGTACATCTAGGAATGATAGAGGAAATGCATAGACTATAAAAGGGGAAGTAAAGCCGAAATGGACGATCAAAAACGTAGCAATTCACCAGTTTGCTTTTATTCCATGAAAAAAAAACTTTCTAACATTATCACAATTCCTACATGAACACACACACACACATGCAGATCTATATTCCCGAGAGAATACGTGTGTCCTGTTACGAATATCTACATCCTCTCCATTCCCATTACCACATTACGATAGCTTATCTTGCTGAACAGCTGTTAGGATGACAAGTTCCTTTCCGACGTAACTTTGACCCCATCCTGAAGCCAGTCCTCACAGTAAAGTTAACTGAGAGAGTTGGCGAGGCTCGAACCCGGCGCTCTCCCACTGGTCGATGCTCCTTCTCTCCTCTGGGTATTGTATCTATATTCATTTATCTACAATGTATTTCTTTTTTCTTTTTTTCTCTCTTTTTTGCAGCGTATTTTAGTCTATCATTCATACCAAGTAGACAATTTCTTTTCTTCTTAAAGGTATGTACTTAAGTCGAATTTGATTTAATTCCTCACCCGGAGGAAACAGCAAAATCAAGAACATTATTACAGTTATGTGATTCCTTTCTGGTTATATATCTATAATGTTCTTTTTTCTTTCTTTCTATAGCGTCTTTTAATATATCAATCATATCACGTTGACAATTCCCTTCCTTCTTAAAGGCATATATTCAAATCGAATTTAATTTAATTTCTCAGATGGTTATAACATCAAAATCAAACACACTATAACAATTATGTGATATATCTATAATGTCTTTATTTATTTATTTATTTATTTCTACGTCTTTTAGTCTATAATTCATAATAAGTTGACAATTCCTTTTCTTCCTTCAGGTCGAACTCGGGTGAAGCATCAAAATCAAGACCATTCTTACAGCTGTGCGATTCCCCTCTGGATGGAATGACGTTTTCTGGCTGTGTCTAATTATCTCGACTTTCATTCT